GCTTCCAATGAGCGAGCGAGAGAGAGAGAGAGAGCAAGTCTGAGCATACGCGGGTGTTGCGGTTGGTGTGATGGCAACAGTGGGTTGTGCGCACCTGTGTCGAATGTCGCCTGGTCAACGGGAACGGGGCGGTAGATGATGGACACACGCACAGATCCGCGCCCGTCATCCCGCATCTCGTCGCCGAGGGCTGCAGCAGCCATGATGGTGGTGGTGGTGATGGTGGTTGCGACGAATGAGCGATGCGAAGGTGCAGCATCAGTTGGTACTGGTGTGAAGGTGGGAGGGGTTGGTGTGTGAATGCCTCGAGTGGAAGCGAGCCAAGTGCGCGTGGCGATAATGGCATGGCAGAGCTGTTGCTGTTGCTGTTGCGATGCTGGTGGTGATGGTGACGTCATGTGCAGAAAAATTGTTGTTCACGTGCCTCAAACACGGCACCTACTTGTTGCGGTTGGCACTTTGGCCGAGGAGAGGGTCAGCCACTGATCCACACACACGTGCTGGTATTCTGACACCAGCGAGTCAAGCCTGAACACACGCGAAGGGACAACAGGAGACGAAGATTCGTCGCAGCGTTGGCGTGGTGTGCAAGCAGGCAATGTGCAACAGTGTGTGAGTGTGTGTGAGTGTGTGTGTGTGTGTGTGTGTGAGTGTGTGTGTGTCAGTGAGTGAGTGAGTGAGTGTGTGTGTGTGTGTACCTGCAGGCATGTGCGCGTCTCTGTTTGCCCATCCATCTTTGGCTGCACGTGAACCCTCACCTGACGGCGCATGAGCCGATAAAGTCGTTGAGGCTGAAAGTGTCGTGATCAAACACCCGGAACTCCAGCCGTGTGCGATGCACGTCCGACACCAAAAATTCCTTGAACACAGAGTACTTCTGCAGGCGAGGTGCACCGATGCAGCAATGATTGCGGGTGAGGTGTGTGTGTGTATGTGTATGTGTGTGCGTGTGTGTGTGTATGTATGTGTGTGTGCACACATGGGTGTTTGTGTGCTAGTTGGTCTGATGATGCGCGCGCAGACGCATTTGTATGTGCGGCCTAGCGCACCGCTTTGCGAGGAACAACGCTTTCCCAATTTGGGTTGAGAGTCTTGAACACGACAGGTGTGCTTAGGGCCTTGGCGCCGTTGCACTTCATAACGCAGAACGGATCGCTCAGCCTACGTGTGTGTGTGGTGTGTGTGTGTGTGTGTGTGTGTGTGTGTGTGTGTGTGTGTGTGTGTGTGTGTGTGTGTGTGTGTGTGTGTGTGTGTGTGTGTGTGTGTGTGTGTGTGTGTGTGTGTGTGTGTGTGTGTGTGCTACGGCATGAGCTGTTGCTGACATGTCAAGACCCAGCGAATCACGGTTCCGCATCTCCGCATCATTCCCACCGTTGCCGGTGTCACCACATCACCACAGCACGATCTAACCACAACAACAAGTACAGCCATACTTTGAGCGGTCGAGTGGCTTGAGTCCCGCTGCTTCGTGTACGCGCACATACAGCACGCCCGTGGGGCTGCTGCACTCCTGTTCCTGCAGTGACACCAGCCGCGCTGCGTCCTTCTCCTCCTGGCCCAATACGTCACATGGTGCGCGTTGAGTGTGTGAGTGTATGGGTATGTTGTGTGTATGTGGTGTGTATGTGGTGTGTATGTGGTGTGTGTATGTGTGTGTGTATGTGCGTGTGTATGCGCGAGAAACAGATTGTGTGTGAGAGTGAGTGCGTTAACGCGAGCATGCGTCCGTTAAGAATGAAGCAATGCGTCACCACCATTGCCTGCAAGCAAATCGTTTCCTCACCTCCGCCTGCAACTGCTGTTCGATGGGCGCAGCAGTGCCACCCTCATTCGTGTCCTCCGTAGACAACTGCGCTTGACTGTCCCCACCCCGCCCACCATCATCGCCATCACCGTTATCATCGTCACCAACATTGCCCTTATCGCGACCGCTGCCTTGCTTCTGCCTCTCGTCCTTTGCTGTCGACTGCTTGCGGTGGCGGCGCTGCTGCTGCTGTTGTTGTTGTGTGCGACCTTTCTTGCTCTTGCTCTTGTTCTTGCTGCTGGTGCTTGTCGTGCTGACATCATCACCATCGCCACCGTGGCCTGCGATGCTGCTGCTGGAACGGTGCGCCTTGACACTCCCGTTGGCTCGGCCTTTCCCCTGGCGCGTCTGCTTACGCCCCGCTGATTCTCCAGCCGTCGCCTGGTGCTGTGCACCGCTGCCACTGTGCACCCCACCGTCACTGTCACCACCAGCACCAGCAGCACCAGCACCAGCAGTCCCTTTTCGCTTGCGCTTCGTGATGATGTGTGGCGGGAGGAAGCGAGACGGTAGGATGGGCAGCCGCACATACCGGAACCGCACGTCGACCGTGCCAACCTTGTCCAGCATGTCAAGCGTAAACTCAACCGTCTTGCCTGTGTATTCGGGGTGGAGGGTGGTGAGTGTTGGGGTGTGGAGGGCAGGGCAGTTGGGGTGCAGGAAGGCAATGGCGAGCCGTCAAATGCACATTCCTGT